AGTATTGTCAATGCACCGCCACGAAGAGTCCTGCCAACTGTGTAGCTGCAGCCCTCCTCTGCCACTCGGACTTTCTTTTCTTTGACGGTTACTCTGTTGCGGGGCGACTCAATGAAACTATCGCCGCGATACATAGCAAGTGCTACAGCTGAATCAGGCGTATTTTACCATAGCTCTCGCTGCAAATGGCCGTCGCCTCAACCACCAGTATACAGTCGACTACAGACATGATGGTTGTAATCACATTCTGCTTGTACAGTGGCGTCGAAAAGAAATGGGGGGGCGGGGGGGGGGGGGGGGGGGGAGACTGCCCCCCCGACAGGTTAGAAATTTAATGGAAAAGATATGGGGGAGGGGTGCAAACTTGCCCTTCCCCCCCACCACTGTCGCCCTCCCCATCTGCTGAATGGTTCTGACGTCTCTGTGCTTGTAATCACCCATTTTTTCTGACAAAAACTTTTACTTCAGTGTCCTATTCGAAAGTTTCTGGCAATAGCCACAGTTTCAACAGATTGTTCATGGTGACTGTTGTGTGTAGAGTGGTGGCACCATCCGGGACACGGACCGCAATCCTAGAAGATTACTCCACACCGCGGAAAAAATGCAAAGCACGCAGTCAACGGCCAACGCCAGCCAGTGAACCTATCATGTCTTCATTACGTAGCCTTGGTATCTTGAGTCAATATATAGTTCATGTTATCCGGTCATCACCTACTGGCCAGGATCTATCATGTGGTGATGAGGATAAGATTGCATAGAGACTGCCGCACTCTACGGCCCCACATCGGAACGTGCAGGTGAGGCAGAAGGTTTGTGAACATCGCCCTTTGTTCGGGTACCCCCCTTGTACCCTCGACAAGAAATGACGACCCTGGGACAGATAGGAGAATTCAACCCTGCGTTTCCGGAGAAGTGGGACGCCTACGAGGCAAGATTGAACTTCCACCTCGAGGCAAACGATATCACCAACCCAACCAGAAAACGTGCTGTTTTTTTTTAGCGTTTGCGGAGCTGCCACTTTTGACTTAGTACAGTCACTACTCGCGTTGGCAACTCCCAAAACGAAGACCTTCAGCCAACCGTCGGAGATTGTACGCCAGAATGCCTTTACCGGCGGAATCAGGGTCCCGAGAAGTCTGTGGCCTTATTCATTGTGGAACTACGGCGGTTGTCACAAAACTGCAACTTTCCAAATCTCACGGAAACACTGTGAGATCTACTCGTGTGTGACCTGAGGGATGAAACTCTTGAAGCTCGACTTTTCGCAAAAAAAAAAAAAAAAACTCTCGTTCAAGATCGCTCAGGAAGAAGTGCTGGCAGCTGAAGCGGCGGCTCAAAGCACCACGATGTGAGGGGAGGAGAACCAGCTGTGGCAACCAACGTTGCCATACATCAGGACTAAGAGGAAGGAGAAAACACGCTTAGGCAACCGACAAGGAAACAGTATACCACGGGAAAACAAAGCCTTGCAATGGGTGCAGAGGAGCTCACGCACGGGAGTATTGTCAATTTAAGGATGCCCAGAGTCACTTATGCAGAAAAATCGGCCGCATCGACTGTGTGTGTCGCATGAAACAATGAGCGCAGAGCGGGCCTTGGGAACAAGAGGATCCAAAACCATGGCGAACGTTCTGAACTTGAACACACAATCTGATGATGTGTACGATACTAACCAACTGGCCCCGCCACAGGCATCACAGACACGTAAGCACCGGACGTCGGCAATGATGGAAGTTGACTAGGGGTCAGAGTTATCGATCATCCCAGAACAAACAAATGAGGTCATGAAGAAGATGCTGCACCGGGTGAGCCATTTCAATCGCAAGTCAGATTTCCATTGCAATACGGTGCAGATCAAGGGGGTGTATAAGGTCCATGTCAAGCACAGCAGTTTCGAAGGAGACCTGAAACTGCTAGTAACACAGGGACAGTGGACAACCCTCCTTGGCATGGACTGGTTTAAACCATTGGGAATCAGGCTGCTAGGGGTAAATAAGGTCACAGGGCTGTCTATTGAAGGTGTGCTTGCAAAGTATGAAGGCGTTTTTGGGTAAAAGATTGAGAAGTTTGAGGGACCCCCACTATCGCAGCACCTTGACTTTACAATGATGCCAATCCGCATGAAACCCTAGCAAATGCCCTTTGCGCTCACGCTTAAAATTGACGCTGAACTTGATTGCTTTATTGAACAAGGCATTTTGGAGCCGGTCATGCAACCAAAGTGGGAGACCCCGATTGTGACGCCCATGAAGGCAACTGGAAACATTAGAATATGCGGCGCTTACAAGTGCACTTTCAACAAGGCACTGGCTCAACACCCGTACCCGATCCCCATGGTACAGCACCTCCTGGCATCACTCTCGGGGGGGAGGCTGTTTGAAAAACTGGATTTGGCAGAAGCTTACCAGCAGCTGGTGGTTGATGAAGAAGCGGCGGAGGCACAAACGATCACAACCCATCGAGGAGCATTTCGAGTAAAGCGGCTACGGTTTGGAGTAAATGTTGCTCTAGGGATCTTTCAGAGCTTCATGGACGACCTCCTGAAGGGGATCACCGGGGTTGTGTCACAATTCGATAACGTTCTAATTGCTGCAAGCACCAAAGAAGAGTTGGCAGGCCACCTCGAGGAAGTCCTGCACCGTCTTGCTGATGCTGGACTCACGGTAAAAAGTGAAAAGTGCCATTTTGAAGTGTCGCGGCCCGAGTTCCTGGGATTTCTTATTGACGAGACGGGTGTGCACCCAACAAAAGAAAAGGTGAAGGCGATTCATGAGGCACCAGTACCAACAAGCAAACAGGAGCTACAGGCTTTCCTAAGGCTGCTAAACTTCTATTGCATCTTTTTACGAAAAAGGCAGCAGTGACCGAGCCACTACGTCAGCTACTTGACAAAGAGGCACGGTGGGAGTGGACGCCTCTTCATGAACAAGTTTTCAACGAACGCAAGCAGCTGCTGTCCTCAGCAAGTGTGCTGCACCATTATGATGAAACAAAGCCCTTTGTGCACACTTGTGATGCCTCACCATAAGACATACATTAAAGCTGTACTTGGCCGTCGACCGGAAGATGACAAAGAGGTCCCCGTCGCATTTTACTCCCGCACATTGACATCTACCAAGCCAAACTATGTTCAAATCAACAAAGAAGCCTTTGCAGTGCTGGGAAGCGTAAAGAAGTTCCATGACTACACGTATTGCCTTTGAGATCATAACACCACAAACCACCTTTGGGACTGTTCACACCTGCAAAGCAAATGCCATACATCTTGTCTCCACGAATGTTGCGTTGGACGATCCTACAGAATGCTTATAACTACAGTTTGGATCATTGACCTCGGAAGGACATACAACATGCCGATGCATTTAGTTGCCTCTCACTTACCATTCCAGAGTTTGTGGTGCCACCTCCTCTAGAAGTTTTGTTTCTGGAGAACACATCCAATCCACCGCCCCCCGCCAAGGACGGCGCACAAATGACAGCAAAGAACACCGTTTGAAGGGTTCTCAACTGGGTTCTGAAGGGTTAGCTGCCAGGCGGCCTTGAGGCAAATTTCCAGCCATTCAAGATTCGACAACATGAGATGCAAGTTCACAAAGGATGTATACTTTGGGGGAACAGGGTCGTAATTCCCCCAGAAGGCAGGAAGGTGTTGCTGGAGGCCCTCCATGTCGGACATCCTGGCATCGACCAAATGAAGGCTCTGGCTTGCAGCTATGTGTGGTGGCCCAAGTTGGACAGAAGCATAGAAGAGCATGTGATCAAGTGCATGGCAAGCCAAGAGTAACGACCTGCACCTCCTCGTGCCTCAGTAGACGCATGGAATGCAACTCCAGCACCGTGGTCTCGGATGATGGGGCTCAGTTCACCTCCGAAGAATTCCGCACATTCTTGAAAGCCGGTCTCATCAGACACATCACGTTAGCACCCTTCCACCCGTCAACTAACGGACAAGCAGAGCGCATGGTGCACACAACGAAAGATTCGCTACAGCGTATTGTAAAAGGGAACATGAGGGCAGCATCTGACCAGTTTTCTGCTACAGGAGCATGTAACACCATGCATGATGACAGGCAAGAGCCCAGTGGATATGCTGATGAACAGGAGGTTGAAGACGATACTTGACCGACTGCACCCAGACCTGACTGAGAGCATGAGGAAGGGAGCTGATGAGAATTCCAGCGAAGGAGCCCAACCGAAGTCACGAATGTTTCGAACAGAAGACCCAGTATTCATATGCAGCTACAGCAGTGGCCCTTCATGGATACTGGCGACAGCGGTTGAAATGACGAGTCCAGTTTCCTACAAAACCCGCACCCAGGAGGGCACTATCGTGCGACGTTCTGTCGACCAAGTGTGTAGGAGCGGTACATCGAGAGTTGCAACAGACAGCATCAGCCACGGACAGCGGCAAGCTGCTCGTCCTGAACCACTTGAGCACCCGAATACAGGCAGCGCAGTGCACATGTCAATGATGGGCCCGGTGCAAGATGTGGATGTGGCCAGGCAGAAGAGATGAGACGGGGCTCGAGCTCCCCCCCAAGCGGTGGAAGGAGTGTTGTGTATTGAGTGGTAGTACCATCTGGAAACAGATGCCAAACCTAGAAGGCCAAGCCACACCGCAGGAACAATGCGAAGCACGCAGTCAACGGCCTACACCAGCCAACGAACCTGTCACGTCGTCATGTAGCCTTTGTATCTTGAGTTAATAAATAGTTAATGTTATTCCTGTCGTCATCTACCAGCCAGGATCTAACAGTGACTATACGTGAAGAGTGCTGAAAAAATTTTGTTAGTTACGGCCTCATTATTTCAAGCACGTGTACAGTATGATCAAACCGTTTAAAAAAAGTTGGCCCCGAGATATCCGTAGACAGCATGATTAGTACTTGTACCTAACTAATTCAAAAACAACCCTTACCTCTAACTCTTACTTTTTTTTCCAGTTTTCTGTGCACCTGGTTGTATCCGCACTCCGCTGGCGTGTCTACCCAGCGGTAGGGCACGATCAATCACGGCCATCGTAGCCGATCGCCATCCGCGATGACGAGCCCGTTTGAAGTTCCTCCTCCGAAGTTGTCTCTGATACAGCTCTGCGATAGCATGTGGTGCTTCCTTGCCACTTGGCGACCACCTCACGATCTGTGAGCCTATGCCGACCACCAAGAGGACTACCTACTTGTCCGGCGTTGGTTCCGAGGAGCTCCGCTGCTGGTGACCACCTTAAGTGGAAAAATATGTCTGAGATTCGTTCACGACAGACAATAAAAATGCTAGCGCAGTTTCGATTCAAATATATATAGCCACGCCATAACAATTCCTAGCGAAGGTTCATAAACACTGTACGCATCAAGCTACTCGCTATCTTCCAAAATGTTTTGGAACATGACGTCCGTCGGGAGTTGACGCTGACATTTTGAGAAACTGTTTGCTTTTCCGACTGTTTTAAACACGAAACACATAATTTTACAAAGGAAGGATTGCCTCGGAACTGTACCTCGGCCAACTCCGTGATCCTCGGGTTGAAAATCGTCTGAATAATAAGACTACGTACTACGTCTTGCTTTCCGTTCATTCTTGAATGGATGGCGCTGCATTTGTGTCAGAAACTGAACCGCAAAAATAAGTTATAATTATGCCAAACTTATTCACATTTGCCTTTACGAAACAGCACAACAAAACAGTGGTGTTATTGATATTATTTCTTACCTGAGCACTTGCATCAGGACATGGGTGACCAGTCGAGCTCACAGGAAAACAAGCGATTGCGAAACCACCAAACCGAAAACGAAACAGTCGTGGCAGGCTTCCCTGTCGAAGACGTTGATGGCGTAGAAGCAGTCTAAACTCGCTTCAACAAAAGCATTCACCCATTAAAAATGACTTGTAGCCGGTGCGTAGTGGCTGGTGGTAGACACGTCCGACATTTTGTTTTCTCAGGCGGTCTCATCTTGGGTCTCAGCTGAGACCCAACGTAAGACGCCGGTTGAGCCGCTTGCTCGAAACGAAATTAGAACCGTCTCAGCCAAGTCAGGACTTGAGTCCGGTACCTACAACCGAGTGAGCGGTGCCTCGAGAGGGAATCTAGGGAAAACGGAGAAAAACGAAGAATCCGGACGTGGATGTGACACGGGGTCGTCTGCTACGCCGCGATCGTTTTGGACAGCGACAAACGACGACAGTCTCATAATTACTGCGTCGTGTTTTTCGTGCAAACCGTGGTTATACGTGAAAAGCGACAGCAAGCCGCGGTTCTGGACGTTGTCTGTCACCACCATCGTCGACGTTGAGTGCGTACGCCGAATAAAGGTGTCCACAGAAATGTCTGTTCGTGCCGATGCATTTTCTAAGAAAAAGGAACAACACTGTACGTCCCTTGAAAGGTAAAGACGAATGTAATTTGGTGCAAACATAAAAAGTATCAATTGGTGTACGAAATGCAGAAACAAAACGCGTAATTCGAGATAAATTTAACAAGATTACAAAAGTTGCTAAAAAGAAAGCACGGCATCTGTTCCATAGAGATCATACATACTGCCCGTACTGAACTAGCGGGACCAACCGATGCTACGCACAAGACAAAAAGTTAGAAAAAAAAAAAGTTGCAGAACGTAAAATTTTTTAGCTGCAGAGTTGACGCTTTCCACAAGGGCGAGTTTGTTATACATTTGTCTTTACTGCACATAAAAATGAAGCACACATTCTATGTGCTCAATCAATTTTTTTCACTTCTTATTTTCCTGGTTAAATTATAGTAATAGTCAAGAGCTCTGGGTTCGAACATCCTTTCTAATTTTCCTGGCTAAATTATAGAAGTTGTCAAGAGTTCTGGACTGAAAACTTTTATTACAAACAAATCAAAACAATGAATGCACTAGCTGCAATCAGACAAAATCCAATGACCCAAGAAAATGTAAAAAGAGCCGTCTTCCACAGGCACAGGACCAGTGAGCTGTCATGTTACTGCTGTTTCTACAAATATACTAGAATGCAGTATGTGCCATTTGATGCAGACAAGTCTAGCCTTTTGAGGTTGACATGATTGGGGGTTCTAGCAAAGCTAACATTTATTTCATAACTGTATCTTGGGTATGCAAATACTAAATACTGGGCCCACTCTAGGAAACATTCCAGCAAGTTCTCTCCAAAGCAAGAAGGATCTGTGCACATTCAAGAACACTGAAACGTTGAGCCATGTCATTTCAGTTAAAAGTCAAAATCGGTATTTTTTAATGAAAAAACACTGCACTTATCAATAGAAGAATTAATCTTGTACACTGCTCAAGTGCTAGAAGGTACATTTTAAAAAGGAGTTAAGCAATGCAAACAATACAAAGGTTATTGTGTTTCCATTGTACCATCACCACAAAATACACAGGCTAGAAGCTTATGAAGTAAAGCCGCAACATGGCAAGCAGTAACATGAATTTGATGTTTTATGCCGAAAACTCTACATCTCCATAGGTCCAAAGGCGACAAACACAACACTTGGACCTCATTTCCTTTGGGACCCATTTTCTTTGGGTCCATTGTATTGAGATGCCAAGTCAAACGAATGCTAACACAAAGCTGAGAGTCTGTTACACAAATATGTATGTGCAGGTGCTTTTACCCATCTAGCTCATTTTACAGGTAGTATTCACTGGCGGCCATAGCTGAGCTCGCAGCTGCGGAGCACATATACTGACGGCAAGCTTCCACAGCACCTGCAACATGCACATTGCCCACAAGAAGAATGTCTTTTAGAGTGCAGCTCTTAGGCAGGCGTCACCGGAGTGAGTGGTGTCGGTGTTGGCCTAACTGCGCGTTACATTGGGACGTTTCCCATAATGACATCCCATGTGACGTCACTAGGGTCACGAGTGACGTCAGAAAGGTCACTTGTGAAGGTCATGAGGGAGGAAGGAGGGGGAGGGAAGGGGTGGAGGGAGGATGGAGGGGAGGAGGAGGGGCATACCTGTTGGTAGTGTAATGGACCGTTATCGGATGGCGACACGAATCCAGCGCTAAGGTCGTGCAGCCGTTCCCCTTTTGTTTGCATTTTCCCCCCTCTCTTCCCGCCTGATAAACAAAATGGCAGCTCGGCAGCTGTATGTCGTTTCTTCATCCCCAAATCCACTCGATCCACGTCCCAGAAATGTGGTCACTCTGCGCACTTAAGGTAAACGAACAATACCCTCCTCTCCGTACCCTCCTCAAGAGCTGCATTCTTATTCGGCATTACAGGGAATTGTAAACGTCTCATTTTTTTTTTGCAACACAATTAATAAGAAGTCATCCTCTGCATGCACATATTGAGCAGTAAGCTAGTACCATCTATTAAGCACCGACCGGCATACACTCACTAAACTTGGTATCACCCTGAGCACACCTGCTATGGTATTCTTTTTATCACTGGAAAGAACCACAGGGACAAGCAACCAGAAAATCGGGTGGCCTGCATCAACACTGCGCACTGGCCCAAATTGAAGCAAGCTATTTTCACAAAAAATAGATGCAACAGCTAAGATTGCGCTTGACCTGCACACCATAGACTGGCTCTATTCGAGCCCAGCGACTTTCACAACTAATAGCCACAACAGCTACGATCGGGCTTGACAACCACACTGCAGACTGGCTCTACACGAACCCAGCTACTTTCAGAAATAATAGCCGCAACAGCTACGACCGGGTTCGATTTTTACACCGCAGACTGGTTCCACTCAAGCCTAGCTACTTTCAAAACCAAGAGCCACAACGGTTCAGAGCTGAGCGATCGAGCTTGATCCACATGCACACAAAATGATTTCCTGAGAAACAAATAAGAGTGCGCTCAAACTATATACAGGGGTGACATTAAAAACATTCTTGTGGATTGTACTCAGGGTTAGCAAAGCACCAGTCAATGTGCGGCCAGCAACTAACGTGGTTGGCCCGGAAGGTTGGGCCTTCGGCCACAAGGTCTTTGTGGCCCCCGGGGTCATTTTCCTCAAGATGCCGAAGTCCGGGGAACGAAAGATTACCAGCCTTTGGACTGGCAACTGGACGAGGATGAGGCGCCCTTCAGCCTGAGGCAGCACTGCTGCCGTTGGAAGGGCGACCACCACCATCAGGCCTACGCTGACCGGGACCGTGTTGTCCAGAACCAGCTTGAAGGCCCAGCATACCACCTGCAGGCTGCAGACAGGCAGTATTATAAATACCTGTTTGCGCAACAGGCGGAAAACATGCCACTCAAATGAAAATGTGTCCTTCCTTGGCTAAATACAGCCCTCGAGGAGCTCAGAATGGCACAAGCAGAGCACAAAGCAACAAGGGAGACACAGATTGCGGCTATTTTTTATGGAGATCAGTGCAAAAAAATCTTAGCCCTGCTAAGGCAGGCTGCTCAACAAGAAGGCCCATAAAAGAAAGGGGGGGGGGGGGATTGTAAATATATTAAAATATTTTTTCTTAGTCCTCATCAATGCCCCCACCTTTAGTTTCTAGCATGCACAAACCTTCCGCTTCATTATTTCGTGTGGCAGCATGGAAGACTAAAGAAATGATGGCTTCATAGAAAGGTTGCAACAACTTTTACACACTCAGCCAATTAAAAGCGAACATCATAACCACAAAAACACCTGCCACGGCCACACCTCAAGAAAAATGTTTGCCTTCCGCACCATTGCATTTGTACAGGCTTTTTGAGACTTCACCGCCGAGTGGCATGCAGGCAGCGTCAATGCGTTCAGTATTTGTGTCGTGCCGTGAATGCCGTGAAGTTCCGTGCCATGAAGTTCACCGGCACTGGAGTTTTGAGGTTATTGATATATTAACTCTTCTGGTGCTGGAAAATCACAGTGTCTGCGCAATACACCAAAATAGGAACACGCACAAGCTACGGCACTAAAGCGAAATCCTATTTGGATCGCATTCAATTACTGTTGGCAAAGCGAAATCCTATTTGGATCGCATTCAATTACTGTTGGCTCTAGGGAGGATCAGTGGCGTACCACAGTTCGGAAATTGTATAGCAAAAACTCGCAATGCAGAACCCAGGGACCCTGAGCTCAAAGCTCCTAGCTCAATCCACACCCCTGCCCATTGCACAAGAGAAAGACACCATGTTTGTTCAACAGGAAACTATACTGTCTCACCGTCACTTGGCAAAAAGCAAGTGATATGGCCCCCTCCAGCCAATCGGTGACAAAGGCAAAGCGTAACCCAAGCAGTTGAAGAAGTGGGGAAGGAGGAACTTGGGAAGTTGCTTTCCCTCCCCTGAAACTTAACCTGTAACTCAAAATTGTCCCAAAAGCGGCATTCTTCTCTTTTTCGTCTATGTCTCTGATAGCACTGCACGCACCTAGTGAGTCAAGTGTCTCTTCCCAACCTGCTGATTGGTTTTCTTAGACCGTAGCCTTCGCCTTTTCCCAACCCAGTTATGATGTAATGGATTACAGAAAACCTGCGGCAAACAAACAAAGAAAACCCAAAGGAGTTAAAAAAGAAAAAAGATGTTTAACACAATCTCACTAATATCATAGCAACGTTTCGGAAACAAGGCTAAAAAG